CGACGCACGTGCGTGTGAGTGCGTGCGATTTAATGATTTCCAGCCGGAATTTCGATGACGCCGGGAGTACGGGACGAGGAGACCGGGGAAGAGGAAGAGAGAGGGGGGGAGGGCGAAGCGGGAGATGGCGAAACGAGAGGCCGGAAGAGAGAATGAGCGAGCACGGCCGCGAGTTGGTCAGGGCCGGCTCGTTTCCGCTCGCGAATTCCCGTGCGAGGGATGGATGGAGAGAAAGAGGGAAAGACAAAGAGAAAGAGGGAAAGACAAAGAGAGTAGAACGAAGGAGAGAAAAGAGAGGAGAACGAGAATAAAAGAGAGATAGAGAGAGGGGGAGTGAGGAAGGGAGAGAGAAAGAGAGAGAGAAAGCTCGAAACAAGAGAAAAGACGCTCGGCCGTGAGCGAGATGGGACGTAAATTTTCTAGCGGTGCGTTCATTTGTTCGTTGAACGAAATGCGAATGCATTATACATGGATTGCAGGGGACATTAATTTTCTGCCGTAGACGTGTAGTGGGCCGCGCGCGCGGCAGGGCGGTAGGACCGTGCCGAGCCGGGCTATGGACTGCGAAGGGGGTGGTCGAGTGCGAGGGGGTGGGTGACCATCCACCCAACATATAACATTCACCGGGAGACCCGCACGGGTGTACGGGGACGATCAGCACACACCAGCGGTCAGACCGAGGTGGAAAGGTGGGAGGTGGCGATTCCACGGGCTGTTTCATGCTCACACGTCCAACCACGTGCGAGCTTTTGCCGGGCTTTCTACCTATTTTTCGCGTACCCGGTGATTTTGACGAGTGGTGCAGCGAGATGTATCGGCACCGCGGAAAAAAATGCGCCGGCAATCTCAACAAACGGCCGGCGGCGAATGCGAGATCTCGCGAAAAGAGTCGCGTCAAAGGGTCGCTATGCTGCAAAAGGGCAAACGGGGTGGGAAATCATTGGAACATTCTGTCAGAGGTGTTTGATATTCCGAAAATGATTTGCGCCAACGCTAGAGATAGAGCGACAACATGAGAGAAAAGAGTGAACGAGAGAGAATTGGAGGGTATCAGAGAGGGAGGAAAGGAGGGAGGGAGGGAAGGAGGGAGAGAGGGGGAGGGAGAGAGGGAGGGAGGGAGGGAAGGAGGGAGAGAGGGGGAGGGAGAGAGGGAGGGAGGGAGAGAGAGAGAGCGAGAGAGAGAGCGAGAGAGAGAGAGAGCGAGAGAGAGAGAGAGGGGGGGGGAGAGAGAGAGAGGGGGGGGGAGAGAGGGAGGGAGAGCTCGAGGGTAGTAACCGTACGTCAAAATTAAATGTTGAAATTCGTGTAGAATGTCTGGCGCGATAAATTCGTTCGTGCAACAATGATCACGATTTTTAATGGAATAAAATTGAAATTGTCCGGGCCCCGAAATGACGGATAGAATTTATGGCTCGTACGAAAATGCAACGTGGCAAGCAAATATTATATTTTACCTATGGCTGTCCAAATCAGACGACATTTCGAAATGTTAACAAGAGATATCAAGAAAAAAAAATTTGTAATTAATTACATTTTTTAGCTTATTAATTTGAAATTATAGTATTGAATTTTTCGTCATCAATAATCGTTGCGTAATATCATGCGTAACGTTTTTGCTCCATCGCATGTGAGGATGCTAGGATTGAAATTTGAGAGAAGTCGAATGTCGAGATGAATGCTTGCCGAAGTGCACCGATTCATCAAAAGTTCTTTATAATTCGTAATTCCTGCAATCGACAAAGGGGTTTAAAGAGTTGGGGCTAAACCCTTCGACAAAGCAACCTCGAGCGATCCCTTATCCCTCTCCTCCACGTTGTTCTATCTCTTGTCTTTTCGTTTCACACGCGAGATTTTAAATTTAATCATAACTCTTCACAGCTCCATGCGAGACCACGCGAATTATTACAAAATGAGAAGCTATTACATTAAAATGAGGAACTATATTTCATTAATTTTTAAAAAAATGCATTCCAATCCGAAATACCGAGAAAATCATCTATTTCTCGGAATACATCACTAATCATCAACCGTGTTGTCGCTTTTGTTTAATAAATAAATGAAAACCTAATTATTAACAAAAATTGATTAATTAGAGATTAATATATAAAATCATTATTAAATACTTTATTATATTGCGCATTTACGGATTAACGCCTTAGCGAATGACACGGTCGATTAAACGATAAACGAGGTAGAAAAAAATGAATGCCAACTGCACGCTTGAAATACCAATGCTGTGTATGTTACCGCAATGTCCTTTTATTTTATTTTTTTTTTTTATTATCGTGCGAGAATCGACGCTCGGCGTCATGTTAGCACAACGTTTATCGCATAATAGTGCATAGGAAAACTGACTGTTTTCGTAGAAATGAATGACCAGCCGGAGTCGTGCGTTCTATGTCATTATTTCCCTTTTATGAACGGGAGAAAGAGAGAGGTGTGCTCACTTTGTAACCCTTCTCACCGCGTTTTGTTCCGTCGTTACTTCCGGTAACGTCAAGCACACAAAAAAGGCGAATATTACGTATGTGCGAGCGTACACGTGGGCGAGCTCATCGTTCTACAAATAAATGTTTCAACCAGCAATTAAGCGCCGACAATAAGAAACCACTAGGCTTCCCCCCCGATGCCACTGTTGTTATAGCCGTTGTATTAATATGTTTTTAATTGTAGCGCGACAGAAAACATACGGTCTTGGGCGAAAGAGGGAAAAGCCAAGTGTTCCTTCATAAAAATTCCAATAGCGCCTTTTCTAACGTTCTTCTTTTTTTGAACAAGACCATCCTTATTGCATAATTAAATATTTTCTTCATGTAAAGGAATACTTTGTTTTGACATACGTAACGTAAAAAAAAAACTTAGTCACTCGTGAAGAGATCGAGACCGTATGTTTCCTGTCGTAATTAATACATATTAATATACCGGCTGTAACATCGGCAAAATCGGAAACAAAGTCTAGCTGAGTTTCTTTTATATACACTGAGAGAAAATGTATTAAATTTTAATAAATTTTAATTTATTCGAATAGTGTTAATTGAATATTTAAATGTAAACATATATTTATTTGATACAAGAATCATTCATTTGATTTATTGTACTCTTTATTTAGCAAATATTTTCCGTAAATAAATGTTACATTAGTACTATTTAAACAATTATTTATTAAAATTTAACACATTTTTCTCTCAGTGTATAAATATTTCGTCAAGAGGTAATATTAATAAATAATTTAGTTAGAGAATGATACCTAAGTGATCAATTAAAATTCGCATTCTAAAAAAGTATCGAAAAGAATTTGTATGAGTACGAAATGGATTCTTATCATAAATAAGTTAGCACAAATACGGCAAGGCGTTCCACCTCATGTGAAAAGCTTCGCAGATACAAAGGTGTCTTCCTCCCACTGCACTCGTTTAAGGTGGGAAATAAATAGAAACGATCAGCTCACTCGTTTCCCCCAGGAAATCGTTTCCTTTAATAACAGACTTACCGGTACTGTACCATCATTTTAAAATCCAAACTACTTTTATCGTGTATCGCACACAAGGAAGCTTCCATTATCTTTCGTGGCGAAAAAAATCATATATTTAAAAATGCATCTCATTGCTTGCATTTTGTTTTTACACTCGGAAGTTTCAAATGCCAGCGCGCGATAAAAGATTGCAGAATCTAATTTTGCTCGCTCGAGTTATTTTTATTAAATCGAACATGATGAAATTCTCCGATGAATCACGCGACTGAATAAAAGATGAATCCCGTAGAACGACTGAGAGTAAGAGGAAGAGGTAGATGAGAGAGAAAAAGAAAGTGAAAGAGAGATAAAGAGCTAGAGCGAGAGAGTAGAAGGAACAAGTGCCCGGGGTAAAAAGGATTGGGGAAGAATGTCGATATTAATAAAAGTTAAATTGAGCCAATCGCTTGTGGGAATTAGAATCGAGTCCACTCGAGACGAACAGTAAGCCATGGAGAGGAGAAAAAAAACGCAATAAAAACGCAGCGGCAGCTGAAGTCTGTCTGCTTCTCGAATGCCGATCGATCGAAGCGATTAAACGATCGAGAGGCTACTTTATCATTATTACGTGGGCGAGAGGGGCGCTTAAATATTCGTATTTTGAAGCAAACGGAAATTTTGTTAAGATCGTGCAATAAATAACATCGCATACATTTGCATGGAAAATATTTGCGCGTTAGCTATGTCTAATTTGCGCAGTAGCCGTCCGCGCCTTTCTGCTGCCTGTAGAATGGAGAAAAATGCGGTATTTTTCTTCCCACCTACTCTTCGATGTAGATGTAGAAACCTGTTGCATGCCCGTAAAAAAAGTCCCGGAAAAAAAGTCGAGTCACTGACCAGCCAATTCACTTCCTAAGCGCGTTTTTTCACATAGCTTCTACCTTTTAAGAACGAGCCGAGGAATGAGAGACATACTTGGCGAGCTGACAAACGAGTCATTAATGACGTTTCAATCTCTTCATCAATCTTCGTCGCACCGACCGCGAGGACAAAGTTAATATTGAATATACGATACGTTAAATGGATGATACCTACTCTTACACGCCAATCAAAAATAAACGGTATAAACGGCTTAGGAACATAAATACTTTATGCATGATTATGAATAATAGGAAAGCACCACAACTACTAGAAATATGTACAAATATGATAATCCATCGAAATATGAAAATTTTTATGGTAAAAATAAAACTTGTAAAGTTACTAATAATTTGTAGTAAATATTATAAAATTTATCATGCATGATAATTGATGGTAAAAAAATGTATGGAAAAAGAGAAAGCTTTATGCCAAGGCTTATTCATCTTTCGATGGAAAGATAAAATTTCGAATTTCGAAATGACCTCTAGGAAAATCGCGTGGCATGACCGGTGCGAATTTCCCGATCGAGCGTGTACGGAGCCGTTACGTGTTCCACCGTAACACAATTTACGTACGCTCGTGCACAGCCACACGAAATTCTAATATGCCTTACGGTATCTGATCACAGGTGAACGACCGTACAAGTGCCATTTACCGGACTGCGGGCGGGCCTTCATCCAACTGTCGAATTTGCAACAACACCTGAGGAAGAAGAACCGGCCGTTCCACTGCAACATCTGCGGCAAGGGTTTCGCCACGGAGTCCAGCCTCCGTACCCACACGTCGAAGGTCAGTCATGTATGTACCAAATCCGACGTCCAACTCGCAAATTCGCTGATACGCGGTGCCGGTAATTAACCGAAGGGATCGGAATTAAAAAAAGAAGGAAGGATCGGTCGATTTCGGTGTGTAATCGCGCGTTCTCATATACTTCCGCTATAATCGCTCTTCTAACGACCGAAATCTCATTAACTCTTTCTCGCGCGACACGTTCTCGTTACTCTCGTACGCACGCATATGGTGGTGGTGGGTTCACGCTTGCCTCGATACTTTGTACAGATGGATTCCCCGTTTAAACGCTCTTTGTCCGCCGTTTCCTTTGTTCCGTTTCGAAGGCTCCCTATATATAATCGATGCAAGTCTCAAGCAAGTTAAAACAGTCGTCGTTGAAGATACGACGGACATGTCGGGCTTAAACGCATACCGGCAAACATCAAGCTTGCGAATAGAAAATTCAGATCCAAGCACGTCCCAACCTAAATAATCGCGCCATGATTATTTACTTTCCTTCTCTCTTTTGTAGATAGCGTATATTTATTCTATCAAAATAACAATATATCAAGAGCTTTGGATAGTTCCTCTGGGATCCTTCGTGGGGTGCTTGGGCTTGCTTTTGCCTCTGAATTCTCATACGACTGCTTGTCATCATGATATCAACATTACATGATCAATAGATTCGAGAAAATCGGAAAAAGATTGTCGCTCGAATTCATAATAACAATTACAGCAATCCTCAAACAGAGATGACAAGATGAAACTCGAAGAAACTGATCCAAATAATTAAACGTCCTTGATAGAAATCCGATCAACATAAATTGTCACGAGGGGCGAGAAGCTCTTTGATGCAGTGCGTTTACGAGCGACATAGATCGGAATATTTTCTCATACAAGTCACTGTGAATGAACAATCGTTGTTTACACACGCACGAGCTTCACGGTGGCCAAGGGTGCATGGCACCGACCGGTTATTAGAGGGACAGAGGTTTAAAAAAAAAACGCGGTCTGATCTGAGAAAAAGACCATGACCCCCGTGCCCGTTAATCGAATTCACCCCTCGCTCGCGTGGAATCGCGGCTCGCAGCGATTACCGGCGGAATCTTGTATCGTGGGGCAGTTTTTTGCCGCCACCGCCCCACCCAGCCGGCAACTGAATTTCTCAACCCTTTCGCCTTCCGCGCCGGGCACATGTCTCAACAAAAAAACGTGGGAAGGCATCTGTCGGCCTGTACGCTCTTATCCTTCTTCCTCTTATTCTTCTCCTTTATTTCTTCCTTTTCTTCCTCCTTTTTCTCTGAGAAAAGACGTCATTCATACTTTTTCCAATTTACATCATATTACGTAACAATTCGTAAAATAACATTCCGACTAATGCGTTTGCTACGATCATAAGGATACTTTTACTATGTAAAACTCCGAATTAAATTAGGTAATCTAACATTCAAAACATAGATCATCATCATCTTTCGAAACGTTCGATTTTCACGAGTCGCGGAATCAGGTGCGGCGCGTCCAAGCTTATGCAAGCTTAATCCGTTCACACGTCGGATACCCTGGCAATAAATATCGTTCTTTTAACGCTCGGCTCCTCTAATTGAAACCTAATCCACGGTTAAAGCCTTCAGATTACCATCCCCCGCACGGCCCCGATAAATCACCCATGGAATCATGTCGACGGCCCCCGCCTCATCAGGCCTACCAATTTTTTTTCCTTCTAAAAATGCACAGTTATGAAAGAATGAACTGACGTATAATGACGACCCTATTACTGCCATCGGTTTTTTTTTAACGCACCATGCGATAATCCTCGCACTAATGAGAATAATTTTTTGCAATCGAGTTATTTGACCCTTCTTTTTTTATAACGAATGGCCTTGATGAATTTTTCAATGGTAGGGCTAATCCTGTGCGAAACTCTTCCTGAATAGCTTGGCTTATGCGCACGAGATCAATACATCAGATTAAATACTAATATGAAGTATGCAGCAACGTATCAAGCTACAACGATCCCGCGAGAACGGCGGCGTTGTCCAGACTTATCGGCAAAAACATCAGGATGCACGTAGCTCGCGTTAAACGAGGAAGAAAAACCACGGGAAGCAAGGAGAAGAAATGGAGAAGATGTAGAAGAGCAAGAAGAAGGGAGAGAAGATCTTACGGCGAGCGCAGCGGCGAAGTAATTAAAAGCCGCCGGCGCGAGCGCGAGCGCGCGACAGAAACAGAGTACGCCCGCTGGAAATAAAACGAAACGAAACAAATGGAGAGCTCGAGCCCATCTTCCGCGGCTAATCGAATTTTCGCCGGGGCAGATTTCTTGAAATTGTTTTCGCTATTTCAGACCGCCTAGCTGCCCGTCTCCTACGCACCAGGCTTGCTACCTCTCCCCCCTCCCTCCTGATAGCTAATGGATCGTTGTTTAAAAAAAAAACCAGCAAGAGAAACAGAGAAAGAGAGGAAAAGCAACCGGAACACGAGATAGCTTGAAACGCAGAGAAAGCGAGACAACGAAGAAAGAGGAACGGCTCACGGAAGTACGGTGAAGAGTAAGGGGAAATGAAAGAGTTACGCTCCAGGTCGAGGCCTGGCGTGTCGGCGAAACATTATCCCGCTAAGAAAGACAATACACCCGGAGTACAATATTATAATAGGCCGGAGCGTAAATGTATTATAGAGAACGATCGGTAGCCCGGGCATAGAAACTCGTCTATGGTACCTACACACCTCCTCCTTTTCCCCACTTTCCACCTCCTCGTTCTTCTTCTCTTCTCTCTCGGTGTACCTATTAACTGTTGTCCTCTTCCCGCTCGACTCGGAACAGGGGCGGATCATCCAACGATACACTGTCGCGATATGTCACTGGTTAATACCCTAATGCTCTTAAATTTCGCGTCGTCAAACCACGTCGAAATTTTTTCCCTGAGCTTGTCTCGGATATAAATTATAAAATCTCCCGATTTGGTAATACAATTCTCACGCGAGCTTTTTCCCTACCCTTTTATCTTTGACATGAGACTTTTACTTCGGAAGATCCGTCCAAACGACGAGACATAAATTTGACCGTAAATGAGAATACAAAATTATTAATATTTCGCCGAAGTCTCGCGAATCTGGCCAACCCTGATTCTCTTTTACCCTTTCTTTCTCCTTCTCGTGGCTCTTGGCCACTTTCACGTGGCGCACAGCCTTCGTATTTATCCGTAGTTTAGCGGTACAAGAGTTGAATGTCGTGCAACACGATACAACCTCCCGTTTTCTACCACCTCATGGATCTTCCTCGCATATCTTCCGACCTTCTTCCGACTCACCTCCAGGGTCTTCCTGTCATCCCTCCGTTCTCCGGACCCTCCTCCACCCCTTTTCTTAATTGCCCCGGCGCGCGGCTCGGTAAAAACTCGTTAGCCATTAGATTTATTTTCTCTCGCCACGGAGATTCATCCCTCTCCCGTTGCTGTATTAAAAACCGCGCGGTGATCGTATCACGTTTAATGCTATTTTTTCTTTTTTTTTTCACATGCGCGATTCTCGTTGACCGCGTACGGATTGATCGCCTGCAATAAATGTAAATCTGTTTGCGCGTGGGATAGAGATGATTTTACCCGTTTATCACGCCGTATTTTCGCCAACACGGAACGCTAATTAATTACCGTGCTCGCGGTATTTACGCGATGTTTTTTTAATTTCTTCCGCGAGAGTGTGCGCACACGATCGGGGAACACTCGTGGAAAAGTATGAACACTCCTGAAAATCTAAACCTATGACTGACGATTTAATGGTATCACATTAATTCAAATTGATCTCCATTTCATGCTGGTCTCTTTGTCGCAGTGTTCGAAGTACCCATGGCAACGATTAAAGGTAAAACGATCGGGTCAATATATGGGAAAGCCTATGGGAATTCCTTTCGGCTGTAATTTCAACTCGTTTCGCGGCGCGTTTACATGCGCATTCGTTGCACCTGTAAAATTGTATTATCTCCGATTTTCATTATAATGATCCATTCGCGCGAAACACGCACACGCATGTACACATACGCACATCCTCGACAGTCACGTAGTTTTCTCGAAATGCGCGAAATTATGATAGCGTTATGGCGCGAAATTATATAACGGCGCTTCATATATTTTTCGTACGTTTGATACACGATATCTATTTAATTAACGGTGCGTCACGTGAAATTGTATATTGCAGAGAATGTAGACAGAGTATCGCCGCCTGATTGATCTCGCGTCGCGAAGACTGTGAAACGATTATAAATCCGGCTCTTGTTCCTTTTTTTCCTACGTCACGATCATGAGTATGCAATTCATTAATGTCTCATGTCGCGACAATCATAATAGCAACAGTCATGGAGATGTATGATGATGTATCACCGAAGAGCGTAACACAAACGCTTTCGCCTGTCGATCGCGGCTAATTGCTACCTCTTAATTTCGGAACGCTCTTCTAATTGAGCAAGGTTCGCACCACGCTCCTCTTCGAATACCTTCCCTCCCCTCCCCTCCCTCGGATTCCCAGTACGACCTCTTTCTCTCTCTTTTTCGTCGGTAAACATCACCGGCTGGCGAATCTCCAGAAGGACTTTTCACTCTTTGTCTCTTTTGCGGCATTAAAATAGAAAAGTGGGACGGTCTTTCGCGGTATAACCTCTCGATCCTTACAATGTTGTACTGTTTCGCGATTTTTTTCGTTCAATCTTTCTTGCATGCAGTTTTTCACGTTTATTTCGATTTCTTTCACGTACAACGAAAAAATATTATTGTAAATATCTCTTAAAATATCTGCACTTATCACGATTTTCTTCGATTATTCTTATGATTACATTAACTTAGATTATTCTTATGATTACTTTGAGTAATTTTCATTTTCCGATCGCGCGCTTTGAGCTTTCCTTCTCTCTCTCTCTCTCTCTCTCTCTCTCTCTCTC